TTTAATTTAATAAAATAAGCGAAGTATAAGCTTCTTTAATAATAAGCTTTATTAGCTGAATGAACTCAATCTCTGTGTACATACTTTGCATAATACTATTGTTTATTCAAAATAAGCCTATTAAAGTTGATGCTATCATACCATTTTCCATGTAAGAAAACTTTTGTTGTTGTTGTTTTGGGATTTTTTTTTGGTCGTGGGGCTTGAACTCTGGGCCTGGGCGCTGTCCCTGTGCTCTTCAGCTCATGAAGAGCGCTCTACTGCTTGAGCCACAGTGCCACTTCCTGTCATTGGGCTTGAACTCGGGGCCTGGGCAATGTCCCTGACTTATTTTGCTCAAGGTTAGTGCTCTACCACTTGGAGCCACTGTGTCACCTCTGGTTTTCTGGTGGTTAATCACAGACCTCCCTGTCCAGAACAGTTTTAAACCATGATTCTCAGATTTCAACCTCCTGAGTAGTTGGGATTACAGACATGAAGCCACCAGCACCTGACCCAAGAAAACTGTTTTTAAGAGATATAGTGACCTGCCTGAAGTCCCACTGCCTATTCTAGTTTTAGAGCTAAGAAGCTCTACTTTCTATCCTCTACTTTGACCAAGATCAATCATACATAATTTTCCTTCATAATTAAAGGTGGTGTGGCTGACAGGTTACTCTCCTTGTGCATATCCTGGAAGCAATGAAGTCTAGCATGTGGTTGTTACATGAACAGCATATTTCAAGAAGAATGAAAAAAGCAGAAGATAAAATAGGTTTTGTTTTGTTTTCAACCAACAATCCTCATTAGGAGATAAGAACAAGAAAACTCTATTTTCACTTTTCATTTGTGGTGGCTTAAATGTGAAGTGTCCCCTCACAAGGCCCGTGTGTGTGTGTGTGTGTGTGTGTGTGTGTGTGTGTGTGTGTGTTGGTACTGAGTCTTAAACTCAGGGACTTGTGTTCTCACTTGGCTTTTTCATTCATTCTGGCACTCTGCCACTTGAGCCATATCTTCATATCCAGATTTTTGCTTTTTGATTGCAGATAAAGAGTCTTATAACCTTTCCTCCCCAGGCTGGCTTCAAACTACAATCCTCAGATCTCAGCCTCTTAAGTAGCTAGGATTACAGGTGTAAGCCACCAGCTCCTGGTCTTTCATATGTATTTGATGGGAAAGGGGCAGTTGCTCATTAAATATTGTTGTAGCAGCGAGAATAAGAACACTCTGAACATCTATTATTACTCAGCTGGAAGTGCTATCATGAGGTGATTAGATCAGGAAAGTGCCAGCTTCGTTAATGTGTTAACATATTGGTACGTTCACAGGTGAACAGGTTGTTAGGAAGGCGGAGGGAGTTGGTCCTGGGGCAGGGCTCTGAAGGGCATCTCTTGCCTCTGGACCCCTCCTCTCTCACTCACTGCATGCTCCCTCCACAGAAGTGAGGCAGGGAGCAGCTTTGCTTCACCACAGACGCCCCGCCGTGATACTCTGCCTCAACACCAGCCCACAGCAAGCGGGCCAAGCCACCATGGACTGAAACTTCTGGAATTGTGGCCCCAAAGAAATCTTTCTTCACATAAGTTGTTTCCCTAGGTACATTGTCATAGTGATGAGAGATGACTAACAAATATCACCTGTGTTGCAAAAACTTAGAAGGATCCAAGTCACAAAGTGTGAAGAAACGAAAACAGCAATATTTTGCAACCCCTGGTTCACGAAAGTAGGGTAGAAGCTGTGGATTATGGTGTGATTTGTCGCATAAGAACAACTGCCATTCAAATGCATGTTCTACTCTAGTCTAGCCAGGGTCAGGAACAGGAATCTCAAACAAGGATCTGTTGAATAGTAGTGCTTTCTCAAATCTTAGGATCAGAAGATGCTGCTTCTTTGACATCTAAAATCCCTCTTCTTCTTAAGTTACCCAAATAGTCCTTAACACTATAACATATTATGTTACACAATACATAAACCTGACTCTCCTCAACAAAATGCAAGGTAAGAGTCTCAAGGAATTCTGCTGTCTGGCCTCAACTGTATCTGTTTAAACAAAGGCATCTGTTTAGTATACTAAAGAGTATATATTGTTTTTTAGTATATCTATCTAGTATATGTATACAGCTTTAGTATATATACACTAAACAGCATATATTATTTCCCTAAGATATTATATATTTAAAAATTATTATATATTTAAAATATTATATATATTAGAATTATATGGGAAAAAGCCCTCAGCAATTATCACACAAAGAATGAGAATACGTAATACAGGCCCAGTTCTTTTTTGAAAAATCACTTTCAAGCTGGGAACCAGTGGTTCACATCTGTCATCCCAGCTACTCAGGAGGCTGAGATTGGAGGATTGCCGTTGGAAGCCAGTCTGGGCAGGAAACTCCAGACTCTTTTTTTTTTTTTCCATGAGACTCTTATTGCCAGTAAACTCAGAGAAAGCCAGAAGTGGCTTTGTGGCTCAAATGGTAGAGCACTAGCCTTGAGCCGAAGAAGCTCAGGGATAACACCCAGGCCCTGAATTCAAGCCCCAGGATCAGAAAAAAAAAAAAAAAAGCAATAAACAAAAAAAAAACAAACTCACTTTCATTATCTTCTATAATGTGGACTGTACATAACCTTATCCAGTTTCATAATGATAGATGTTCAGAGTGCTCTTATTCTCGCTGCTACAACAATATTTAATGAGCAACTGCTCCTTTCCCATCAAACTACATATGAAAGACCAGGAGCTGGTGGCTCACACCTGTAATCCTAGCTACTTAAGAGGCTGAGATCTGAGGATTGTAGTTTGAAGCCAGCCTGGGGAGGAAAGGTTGTAAGACTCTTTATCTGCAACCAAAAAGCAAAAGTCTGGATGTGAAGATATGGCTCAAGTGGTAGAGTGCCAGAATGAATGAAAAAGCCAAGTGAGAACACAAGTCCCTGAGTTTAAGACTCAGTACCAGCACACACACACACGCACACATAAACATAAACCTTCACTGGTAGGCACAAAAAGCTCTACTTCTGCAATTCACCATGCCTGGAGGATCTGGGTTGCAGAAAAGTCTGAATGGTGGTGAGATCCCAGTGCCCCTCTGGAGCCTCTGCTCCAGATGCAGTGCTCAGCGCTGCTCATGCTAGTGTCCCAGGCACTAGGTGCAGCCTGTGACCCTTTGCTGGTTGGATGAGGAAGCCGAGCACAAGTCCATGCCACTCCACCTTGTCCCTTCACAGTGTACACGGGGCCTCTTTAGTCCCAGCCTCAAGCTTATCCCTGTCCTCCTTCCTAAACCAGTCCTCTTCCCTCACCCAGTGTGGTCCAGTGTCTACTGGGCTTGCTGTGGAGCCCAGAGTCTAATAATCAGAGCACCATGGGAAATACTTGAACCCCCTAGGGCAGAAGCCTGGAGTGAGCGGGAGAGAATAATATATACAATTCTTGGGGAAAATGGAATAGGAAGGCTCAGAATTCATACATTGTGGGGAAGTCTGTAATTCTAACAGTCTGGGACCAAATGACAATCCAAAATACAAAAGAGATGAGGACTGCAAATGCACTAGCATTTAGTAGGGTGAGATGAGGGATAGACCAATGGCTGGGGGTTGGGTAGAGGTAGGAAGGTTAAGGGGCTCTTTTTCATTAGAGAGCTTCTGCAGTGTCAGTGTATTTGAGGAGTAGGGGAAATGCAGACTCAGGAGCCCCTCTCCAGGCTCTCCAGGATACGTGCATTGCCTGCTCTGAAGACCCAATGCTGAGAATGACTTCTGGATTGTGACATACTTTGACAGGTCTGCCACAGATAGAAAAGGTTGGGAAAGAATGCTGCAGGGGCATTGACCGATTAATCAATCACCTTGGTTACTTTGTCCCACTTCATTTTGGTTCCTTTTCTTTTTCTTTTTTTTCCCCCAGTCTTGGGGCTTGAACTCAGGGCCTCGGCAACATTCCTGAGCTTTTTTTTTAAATTTTTGCTCAAGGCTAGCATTCTACACTTGAGAGCCATAGCTCCACTTCCAGCTTATTTGGTGCTTAGTTGGAGATAAGAGAGTCTCACAGATTTTCTTGCCCAGGCTAGATTTGAACCATGATCTTCAGACCTCAGCCTCCTGAGTAGCTAAGATTACTGGCTGGGTTTGGTTCTTGAAGCTTGAGTGTGTTCACTCAGTATTCTCCACGAGCTCTCTCCCTGCCATGGAGGTATCTTTGTTTGAAAGCCTTTTTATAGACTGTGGGGACGCTGAGCTACTGGGAAGAGGGCAGGAGAGACCTGGAAGGAGTTGCTTTCTAGTGTCACGGACAGTCAATTGGAATGTGGAACCACGGTGACTGCCAAAAGCCAAGGCTGCTCTGTCCTGTTCAGGTCTTTGCTGGCCCAGGCGGGGCAGCTTTGGCAGTCAAGTTGGAATTTTCATTCTAATGAAGGCATAGATTTTAGTGGAAAAAGCAAAGGAGTCTATACTTCAAATTCTCTGCCACACTGGAGGGGAGGTAGAGGCACACTTGCTTCTTCTGGCTGCTTCAGGCCCTACTGGTTGTTTTTTTTCTCTTTCTTTCTCTCTTTCTTCCTTCCTTCCTTTTTTTTTTTTTTTGGTCGGTTGTGGGGCTTGAACTCTGGGCCTGAGCACAGTCCCTCAGCTCTTCAGCTCAAGGCTAGTGCTCTACTCCTTGAGCTACAGTGCCACTTCTGGTTTTCTGGTGGTTTATTGGAGATAAGAGTTTCACGGACTTTCCTGCCCTGGCTGGCTTTGAACCGTGATCCTCAGATCTCAGCCTCCTAAGTAGCTAAAATTACAGGCGTGAGCCACCAGCGCCCGGCCCTACTGATTGTTCTAAGCCTGGGGTGCTGGGGTGAAGGTATATTTGCATATGTGGTGCAGAGACCTACTGTACATCTCTCTGAACATCTGTCCTTCCTAGATTCTGTGACATCAAACAAAATGTGTGTGTGTGTGTGTGTATAAACTTTCAATCCTCATTGGCTTAATTGAACTATCTCAGAAATGGACTTAGGTTTTACAATTACCTGTCATGTCTCAGTATGGGTGTAGGCATCACATTTGTCAAAAGCCATCCAAATTCAGCCAGAGTATGCAGGAGAGGGCCGTAGTCGGTTTTGATCTCACAGCCCTGCAGGAATAAGCATGAGAGCTCACAGTCACAGTCTGATGGCAAATACAAGCAGTGACACAAGTACTAAGGATAAAGGAGTTCACTCTTCACCAAGTGCAGTTTCCTAGGGCTTCATTTGCTGCCTTTGTTGCCTTCTAACCACTGAGCCAAGTTCAGATCACTGAGTAGAGGAGAGTATCCCGGGTGTTCTTTGGTTTGGGGCAGTCGTTCTAAAATGGTCAATTGTGGGGGCTGAGAATCTGCATTTCAATGAAGTCTACAGAGCAAATCTTTGAAAACACTGGTCTTGGGTTTGGGAAGTGAAGAGTAGGGAATGAGGCTTGGCAACATGGCTCACACCTGTAATCCCAGCTATTCAGGAAGTGGAGATTGGGACACCCTAAATTCTAAGCAAGTCCAGTTAGTGAGCCCTCAACTTGACAAAAAAAAGCTGGATGTTAGCCAGGAGCTGGTGGCTAATGCCTGTAATCCTAGCTACTCAGGAGGCTGAGATCTGAGGATTGTAATTCAAAGCCTAGGCAGGAAAGTCCAGTCCTGGGGGCTTGAACTCAGGACTTGGGCACACACTGTCTTTTTGCTCAAGACTAGCACTCTACTGCTTGAGCCACAGCAGCCACTTCTGGCTTTGTCTGTTTATGTGGTACTAAGGAATTGAACCCAGGGCTTCATGCATGCTAGGCAAGCTTTCTACCACTAAGCCACACTCCCAGCACCATAAAACACTACTTGAATGACTGAATTTTCCTTCTTTCCTTCCTTCCTTCCTTCCTTCCTTCCTTCCTTCCTTCCTTCCTTCCTTCCTTCCTCCCTCCCTCCCTCCCTCCCTCCTTTCTCTCCTTCCATCTTCCTTCCTTCCTTTCTTTCTTCCTCCTGCTTTCTTTCTCTTTCTCTTTTTCTTTGTTTGTTTTTCTCTCCCTCTTTCTTTCATCTCCCCTTCTTTCCTCCCTCCCCCATCTCTCTCTCCCTTTCTTTCTTTTTCTTTTCATTTGTTTTTTTCTGTGTCGGTCATGGGGCTTGAACTCTGGGCCTGGGCACTGTCCCTCAGCTCTTCAGCTCAAGGTGAACCCTCTACTACTTGAGCTACAGATCCACTTCTGGTTTTCTAGTGGTTTATTGGAGATAAGAGTCTCACGGACTTTCCTGCTTGGGCTGGCTTTGAACTGTCATCCTCAGATCTCAGCCTCCTGAGTAGCTAGGATTACAGGCGTGAGCCACCAGCGCCCGGCTCTTTCTCTTTCTTTCAACCAGTTTTCATGGCATCTTGTAGAGAGAGGCTCAGTGCCAGAGGATTTTGTTTAGGGTTAGAATTCTAATTTGGGGGTTACTTATTGTTATCTATGTATAGACAAGTATTTTGCTATCCTGTGAGACAGCTTGATGTTGGGCAAAGCATATTGTCTTTAACACTGCATAAAGTACAGGAAAGAAGTTTGCTCACACATTGGTGATGAGCTTCCAGGGACTGGACAAACCCATGCTTAAGGACACTGCATGTGCCAGGCAATGAAGATTCATGTGAAAAACTAAGCACACAAGTAACTATAGCTCACCTCAATGATGGTCCATTGTTCTACGACAATAGCATCGTTTCCTTTCCTGTTAGAACCTGGAACTCCAGAACCTTCTTCTTCATAGATAAAAAATCCTTCCAAAGATTTAGGCAAATGGTCCCCTATAGGGCAAAGGATACAATTAAGAAAAGTTGTAAATACTAAGCATTTCTAAAAATCATCTGAATCCTCAAAAAAAAAACCTTATAGAATATTGAAAGAAAAACAAATCAGTTAAAAATATTTGTCTTGAGGGACTGTAATGTAATTCAGTAGAAGAGCACTGGCTGAGCATGCAGAAGGCCCTTGGTTTAAGCCCCAGCATCATAACACAACAAAAATTATTGTTTTATTTTATTTACCCAAGTAAAGATAGTTTTATATTTCACTGAATTAAAACCAAAATATATACATGAAAACTGTAATAACAGAAATAAGATGAAGCAATGAGATATAGTGAGAAGCAAATGGAAACATCAACCTTAAAAATCATTCAGAAATGATCTTCACGGTGAATTCACATTTTGATTTTGGATATGTAGATTATGTGCACATTAATTATACCATTAAAAGAAATAACATAAAAATGTTAATCTTTAGGCTGGGAATGTAGCTTAGTGGTAGAGTGCTTGCTTAGTATTCATAAAGCCCTGGGTTTGATTCCTCAGTACCATATATACAGAAAAAGCTGGAAGTGGCACTGTGGCTCAAGTGGTAGAGTGCTAGGACTGATTAAAAAGAAGTTTTTCCTTGGAATTAGAGTTTAAAAGGAATATAAGGTAAGATCTTTAAAGAATATAAGCAGAACAATTCTTTACCTCAGTAATACATTAAAATCTTCCTCTTCCCCCCAGAAAAAACCCAAGCCCACCAAAACAAACAGTGACAGGAAGACCTAAGCAGAAGTCATTGTCAAAAGAATTCCTGCTGGGAAGGAAATGTTCAGGGAGGGCCTCTCTGATATTTTCATTCATAATTGACAATACCCATCCTATGGAAATTCTTTTGTTTCCTACTTTGCAATAGAAACATTTTTTCACATGTGCATGGGTATTTAAACATGACTTTAAAGATGATTGAATTATAAAGTTGATGTTCAGAGGGGTTACAGTTACATAAGTCAGGTAAAGAGTACATTTCTTTTTGGACAATGTCAAACCTTCCTTGATTTTTAAAAAAATAAAATATAATGTCACATTCAAGTTTTCCTGATAGCATTCTAAATTACAAAATTTCCTTCTTTTTCTTTTCTTTTCTTTTTTTTTTGTTGGTCATGGGTCCCTCAGCTCTTCAGCTCAAGGTGAGCACTCTACCACTTGAGCCACTGCACCACTTCCAGTATTCTGGTGGTTAATTGGAGATAAGAGTCTCATGGAGTTTCATGCCCAGGCTGGCTTTGAACTGTGAGCCTCAGATCTCAGCCTCTTGAATATCTAGGATTACAGGTGTGAGCCACTGGTACCTGGCTCCAATGGTATTTTAAATATTAAAACATAACAAAGGCAAAATAAATTTCAATGTAATTATTTTAAGTTTACTTTTTGTTAGCAGATTATGCAATTTTAAAGCAAATTCTTCCTCTTCTTTGTGGTATTTATTATTATTATTTTGACATCACTCATATTTAGGGAAGAATGCCCCAGAGAATTGATAATTTTCAGTGTGTTCTCAAGCATGCCAGCCAGAACTGGTTTTCTACTTATAATATATGTTTTATTCTTTACGTGTTCTTATCTACTGTCACACCAAGGTTACCAATGGAATCAAATCTGATCACCTTTAAAATTGTATATATTCCAAATCCTTTCTTACAAGGAGGGAGTATGAGTTTTGAAACTATGTACTGTAATAATTATGTAGTTAATTGCAATTTGCCTGTTTACTTTGGGATTCTATACTGTGAAAACTTTAGGCTTTATTTTCTTGCTATCAAAACTGGGGTACTTTTTTTGTTGTTGGGTGTGGGGCTTGAACTCAGGGTCTGGGCATTGTCCCTCTTTGTGCTCAGAGTTAGTGCTCTATCACTTGAGTCACAATGCCATTTCTGGTTTTTGAGTGGTTAATTAAAGGTACGATCTCACAGGTATTTTTCTTCCCAGATTGACCTCGAATTGTGATCCTCAGATCTGAGCCTCTTAAGATGTAAGCCCCATTGTGGTGTGAGCCACCGGTGCCGGCTTACATTCCTACTTGTAACTTTTTTTTTTTTTTTTTGGTAAAGGTGATAGGAAAATTTATTAGTTAAAAAATTATGACAAAAAGGACCACATGTGGCATAGACATATTATGGGAAAACAACACTTAAGCCCAGCTCAGCCACCTTACCTCATCTTCCCTAATTTATTTATTTATTTATTGTTGGTTGTGGGGCTTGAACTCTGGGCCTGGGCGCTGTCCCTCAGCTCTTCAGCTCAAGGCAAGCCCTCTACCACAAGAACCACAGCACACCATTTCGGTTTTCTGGTAGTTTATTGGAGATAAGAGTCTCATGGGGGGCTGGGAAAGTGGCTTAGTGGTAGAGTGCTTGCCTTGCATGCATGAGGCCCTGGGTTCGATTCCTCAGCACCACATAAGCAAAAATAAAAAAGCTGGAAGTGGCGCTGTGGCTCAAGTGGTAGAATGCTAGCCTTGAGCTGAAGAGCTGAGGGACAGCACCCAGGCCCAGAGTTCAGGCCCCACGACTGGACCCCCCACCCCTCTAAAAAAAAAAAAAGAGTCTCATGGACTTTCCTGCCCAGGCTGGCTTTGAATCGCAATCCTCAGATCCCAGCCTCCTGAATAACTAGGATTACAGACATGAACCACTGGTACCCGCCAGCCCAAACTTACTTTTTGAATATTTTTATTATCTGTAAGCATTTGTACAAGGGGAGTTGCCATTCACCAAAGTCATTTTTAATACAGCGCATCTTGCTCAATGTCACCCCTTTCAATATTCTCACCCATCCCTCCCAATCCCACCTTCCCTCACTTTTCTCACTTATTTATTCATTTTTTTGTTTTGTTTTGTTTTGTTTTTTTGCTAGTCCTGGGGCTTGAACTCATCTGGGCACTGTCCTGAGTCTCTCTGTGCTCAAAGCTAGTGCTCTACCACTTGAGCTACAGCGCCACTTCTGGCATTTTCTGTTTATGTGGTACTGAGGAATCGAACCCAGGGCCTCATGCGTGCTAGGCAAGCACTTTACTACTAAGCTATATTCCTAGCCCCACTTTTCTTAATTTTTCAGGTTATATATTGAATTGTTTTGGAATTTAACAAAGCAGTTTATGAAGTGGTAATGCAGCACAATTATCTACTTAACACCACTTCACATTTCAGGATCCAGAGTTTCCCAACCAGTGTGCCTTGGTCCACAGGTGTGCTGAAACCAGGTATGCGGAGACCCAGGGCGCCCCCTCCTGCCCGGAGCAGAGTTACCACCCACGTGCTCTACAAATGTAGGATATTCTGGGAGCATGGTATGAAAAAGTCACAAGGCCCTTGCCTGACTCTGTTTCTCAGGCATATATATATTTTTTTTAATTCAGTATTACCAGAGGTTTATCCTGAAGTGTGGCCTTATATTCCCTGGCTGAATATACTAAGGGTTCCTGGACCCTGCTTAAAATGTCCAAGCTTGGGGCTGGGAAGGTAGCTCGGTGGTAGAGCGCTTGCCTTGCATGCAGTAGGCCCTGGGTTCGATTCCTCAGCACCACATAAGCAAAAAGAAAAAAGCCGGAAGTGGCGCTGTGACTCAAGTGGTAGAGCGCTCGCCTTGAGCTGAAGAGCTGAGGGACAGTGCCCAGGCCCAGAGTTCAGGCCCCACGACTGGACCCCCCCCCCCAAAAAAAAAATGTCCAAGCTTGAAGAATTCCTGGGGAATGTTTTTACTTCTCTGGATATGTGACTTTTTTTTTTCTCTCTGTGTGCATGAGCACTTCTATCTGTGGACACCAGTAGTGGGGCTTGAACTCAGGGCTTGGGCTCTGATCCATAGATTTTTCACTCAAGGCTGGTGCTCTTCCATTTGAGACACAGCTCCATTTCCAGCTTTTTCTGGTTATTTGGAGATAAGAGTCCTATGCACTTTCCTCCTGTTTGGGCTGGCTTTCAACCTCAACCCTCAGATCTCAACCTCCTGAGTTGCTAGGATTGACAGGCATGTACGGCCCCCAGCTTGAACATGTCATCTTTGCACATGAACTTTGCCTAGATAAGACATTGACATTCCTGTAAATGGAGGAACAGTAACAACTCACATGAGCATTTCTGGTCCATATATTATCTTTGCGATTAAACTGCTTATGGGTGGACCCAGGACCATCTCTGATATGGAAAGCCGACAGTTACAAAATTGCCACTCTTCATGCACATCCTATATGGAAATTTATCTCAGCCCATCTACTTCTCTCCAGGTCGACCCCCACTTCCCTAGGAACAAGGTATATGTCTCCTATCCGGTGGGTCTCCTATCAAGGTGGGTCTCCTATCAGCCCCTCACAACCACTCTTGTCCTCTGAAATCCATTTCCAGAAGTGATGCCAATGATGTGCTTTAAAAATGTGAATCAAATGGGTTGCTGGTGGCTCAGACTTGTAATCCTAGCTACTCAGAAGACAGATCTGAGGATCCTGCCCAGATAGGAAAGACTTTGACACTGGTTAATATTTAATTGACCAGAACAAAGCCAGAACTGGAAGGGTGGTTCAAATGGTGGAGCACCACTTGAGTGAAAAAAGCTAAGCAAGAATGGGAGGCCCTTGCCTGGCGCCATTGGCTCATGCCTGTTATCCTAGCTACTCAGGAGACTGAGATCTAAGGATCATGGTTCAAAGCCAGCCCAGGCAGGAAAGTCCGAGAGACTCTTATCTCCAACAAACCACTAGAAAACTGGAAGTGGCATTGTGGCTCAAGTTGTAGAGCGCTTACCTTGAGCTGAAAAGCTTAGGAACAGCGCCCAAGCCCAGAGTTCAAACCCCATGATTGTCAAAAAAAAAAAAAAAAAAAGATGGAAGAAAAACAGCATCTTCACTAAATTGTGCTGCCAGAATTGGTTAAACACTAAAGTTAGATCCTTATATATCACCCTGCACCAGAATCAACTCTAAATGGATCAAAGGCCTCGAGATAAACATAGATACC